TTCCCTTGCATCAGTCCCTTGTTTCACGTGGGTGGCAAAGATCTGGAGGGTTTTCCCTCACCCAGGGCTGGCTTCTGGTAGAGAATTGTTGGCATGCATCCGCTTTCCTCGAAGCAGCGCGCGGGAGCCACGTTAGGAGGTCAGTCCCGAGTGCCTCACCTCTTGTTCTGTTGAATTTCGTCCCGCTTTTGTCACGCCGGTTCTCAAGAGCAGCTTTGTGTCACAGCTATTATCCTGCTTCCTATGCCAAGAGCTTTCCTCAGCCGACATACTTTGTCCATCCTGGAGAACACCAGCAGCAACCCAACCTGGTATTTTGTCTTACTGCCTCCTCCGGAGCCGGTTTCCTGCCCGTCTTGCAATTCTTCATTCCCATCTCTTTCTTGGGTTCATCAAAGGTGAAGCAGATCTTGGCTGGCTGTTATCTAGAAAATACCTTTTGCATAAGGGTTGGTCTGGCTCTTCCTCCCCTGTGTACTGTTGGATTTCTGTTCAAGGAGGTCAGCTTTGTGAACAAGAGTTGCAGAAACAGTATCATTATAGACTCGAAAACCTCTTATCTGTTTCAGATGCCTTCTGTTTAAGTCCTCAGTGCGTTCAGGCTGGTCAGCAAGATGGAGTGATTCATTACTTGGCTATTAGCGGCACTAAAGCCCCACGTGAATAATACGGTCGCTGCCCATGCAAGCCGGAGGGTTACAGAAGATAGCAGGCGGGATGCGCGGGAGTCCCGTGGCGAGTCATCCGCAGCAGTGAGGAACAGGGGTGGGAGGGATCCTGGGCCATCCTCCCACCTGAACCTCGCTGCAGCTACAGTTGATCTACGCTCTCTTCAAACCTCTGGCGGGGAGGATTTAACAGCTTCCCTAGGCAATTTATTCTGGGAGGGATTTATTGATTTATTGCATTACTCTGTTTTATTACTCCAAGATAGTAGAGGAAAAAAAAGCTCTAATATTAATATGACTCTTTCTCCCTGTGTAAAGGTTTGCCATGTTCACAGCTAGGCAGGACAGCCGTTTATTCCCTTCTCTTCAGATGCAAAAGTCTGCTGTGGACTTAACCACCCTGGTAATTGCTGCCGTAGTGCACTGCCTTGACCTTTGCTTTTGAATTTCCTTGTGCTGTCTGTCCCAGCTGACTTCTTTGGTTTGAACCCAAGCACTCTTAGCCTGGTCTCAAATACTTCTGCAACTTCAAGTGGCTTGGTGGGGTCGGTAAATGTAATCAAGGTGCTTCTTTCTTCCATCATCCAGGCCGATAATGAAATTATCAGGCAGAGCCCACCGAGTTCTTACTCTGTCCTTGTGCAGTGAACTCGTGAGGCTGAATCTGGGTAGTGGATTTAATCAGTACTGCACCTCCGCTACAATAGTTTCATCTGACAGATATTTCTTTACACAAGTGTTGAATTAGGCCGTGTCAAAAGCTAAGCTAAAATCGAGATGTCTTCTGCTGCGCTTGGCCTGAGGCCTCTTTCTTCTATGGTAGGAGAAATTCAAACCAGCTAGACCTGACTTGCTCTTGACAAATTTATGCTGGTTGCTGTTTATCTTGTTTTCTAGCAGCTTACAGGCAGTTTGCAAGGTGATTTCCTCTTGGTTTTGGTTTTTTTTTTTTTTCCCCCAAAAGTCAGGCAGTTAAACTCTTGAGACTAACATCTCTTTAGTATTTCCTTTTCCCCTCCTTTATTTAAAGATAGACGCTCCTTGTGCCCTTTTCTGATAACCTGGACCTCTACAGATTTCGGGGGGGGGGACGGGACGGGGCACACACGACTGCTCTGAGCTTGTCCGCCACTCCTGGCAGTAAGCCAGGGCAGATCCCCCCTGCCTAAAAACTTCAGCCTCTAGGAATAATCTGACATTTTCTTCCCAATAATAATCCAAGATTTTTCTTGCTGCTGCTGTTAGCTCAGAGCAAGCCTTTGGCTGAACGCCGCTGCCCAGAAGCATAAAACCCTGTTGTTCTTGCTGTCCTCTGATAGCTGTCCTTCTTGAGTAGCGAGTCCTTTAGTCTCTCTTACTAAAGCCTGACTTTTTACCTTGATCTTGTTTTACTTAGAGCTTTGGCCTTTCTGGCGCTTGTTTTATATTTATTTTTTTTTTGTCCCCGCGTGCTTGTGGTGTCTCCTGCGTGATTCCTTCAGTAATCTGACCCGTGCTCCACTTCCTCTGTGCTCGCACGGATCGCGGGCGCAAGAAGAGCTTGGGGCTTAGCCAGGGTTGTCTCGCACCGCGCCGCTTGTCTTCCCACTCTAGACGTGTGGTTTGCGTTTGCTCAGGTTAAAGGAACTGCTGCTTCTCCCTCAGTCCTGTTTTCTGCATTTTTCTTCTCCCCCCCACCCCTTCTTCCCTCTAAAGAGTTGCGTTCCCTGCGATCAATAATCCGTGTTCCCAAAATCGCTGCTCTTCCTCTCTCCCGGAGATTTCTTTTCAGGTCAAAAACATTCAAAGAGCTTCTTCCCTGCTTTCCCAAGCAGATACCTAGGTGGTAATTGCGTGGAAGTGACCTGTCCTGTGTTTCAGATGATCCTGTTCACCAAGTCTTCAGCCGCTTTGCTTTAGTGTTTGGTACTGCTGGAGGTCCCCCCCAGCGTGGCAGCACCCAAATTCTTTCCCCCCGCTGATCATTCCCCAGAGTTGGGCTTTTTTTCCACAGTTTTCATTTCCTTCTACCTTCGGGGCTTCAGAGCATCCTTACAAAGCAATAACCGTTCCTCTCTATTCCCTTGTCCTCCCCGAAGCAGCACTTCGGTGTTGTGTTTCTGTCATAACAGGGTTGATAGAGTAATTCCTATATGCCTGTCAAATAACTTCACGTTCGGACGAACTCCAGGCTGTCCTCCGTCCTTCCTGTATTGCGGCAGAGCCGTCTCAAGGGATCCCTGGCGTGACCTGCTTCTCCTCCTGTTGATCCGCAGTCCTACTCTTCCCTTCCTAGCATGCTGAAGGGACAGTGAGGGGGGGTGGGGGAAATCCTGGCTCTGAGCTTGCTTCTGGCATTTTGATTTTTTAGTTTGTAGGAAACAATCTGCTGCATCTCAAAATATTGTTAATTGCCACCGGGGAGCCTGCCCACTTACCATCTGAAGGAGTACGCTACGTACTCGAGTGTCGCTCCAGAGATCCCACCACCCCCCAACTCCTTGCAGTTGCGAAACGCCGCCTGGAGAGGTCTTTTCCTTGCCTTTCCTTCGCCCCACGCACGTCTGTCCCTCTGTTTCCGCAGTTGGTGAGAACGTAGTCACGGGTTACCCTGCTAAATTCAGATTTTCTGTCTCTCGTGCCCTGCGGTGATGCTTGGAACACATTGTGTTGCTGCTTGCCCGATCTCAACTGACTCTACAGAACAAGCGCCCTCGGGTTAAAGCTACTTCTAACCTGCGCACGAGGATGTTGAATTTGCCCTCAGCACCAAAGGAGATACATTTGAGTTTCATATTTACACCCGTCTCCTCCAGAAACCAGAGTCTTGCAAGACAGCCGCGGTGCCCGCAGGAGGTGAGAGCGAGGAGCTGCTTCTAGCGGGACACCATGATCTTCCAGCTGAACTGCAGGGCCAGGGGGCAGCCCCGCGTCAAGCTGAGCAAGACGATGACTTCTACATCAAAATCGAATTTGAACAAGTAAGGCTTGTACGGGGCCGGGCCGGTTGGTCTTAAGAGGTTTGAATCGTTGGGATTGGGGTTTATTTCGGCAGAGACAGTGAGGCTGCTGTTGTAGTAGAGCAGTTGCTCCCTCAGGCCTGGTTAACTCTTAAGCCTACTGTCGCCAAAACAGGCTCGAGAGCAGCGTCAGAGCTAAGCGCGACTGGCGGCTCCTGTTTCCCTGCTTTCATCTTACAGCTGTGCCTTCCAAAGGGGTTTTATTTGTGCCTGCCTCGTGATGCCAGTTGGCTGGCGCTCGGCGGAAATCTGAAACTGAGTGTGCAGTTGCATCGTACGCTTAACCGAACTCCAAACTGCGGCCGGCAGGACCTGCGGCTGCCTCTGGTCCGGCTGGCCTTGCTCGGAGGCAGCAGCGGGGTGGAAGAGGTGCGGGTGGTGCATCAAATCGGCCGGAAACCTCCTAGAAAAGGGGGGGTGGGGGTGGGGAAAAGCAGCTTTGCATCAGAGGAATGAGCTGGCTGTGAGGATTCCTGTGCCCTGGGGCTGGCGAAATGCCTCCCTTAGAGGCAGCGTGAATGTGTCTGCTTGTGAGGACTGAGCTGACGTATTTATGTATTTATCGATTCCTCTTTTGTCTTCAGGCAGACTTTCATTAAGCATCTGAGGTGTGGAAATGGCCTGCCCTGATTACCCGGAGTAGTCAGCAAATACTTCATGGCTATAGCAGTGTGTGCCCAACCTTAGCTGGTGATTAGTCCAGCTAGAAGCAGAAATACTGGCTTGGCAAATATTGAGCGGAGGGAGGAAGGCGGAGGTTTACGCTGAGGTTTTCGGAGACGTCGGCTGTTGGATTCCCCTGACACTTTTGTTATTTGTAGTATTGTTATTTTTCTTGCACTTCACAAAGGTCAGAATGAAAATCTGGGGAGGCGAGGTGTGAATCCATATTTAGGCTAAACCAGAAACCTCCTCCAAGGATATCTTTAGAAGTGTTTTGACAAAGCTTTGGTGCTCAGGCTCCCGCGTGGAGGTGCCGCACGTGTCTCTCCTGTCTATAGCCAGCCTATACCCCGAAAAAAAGCACAGCCCATAGGTGGGTTGCCCCGTTGAGGGCTGTAGGGATCACGCAGAGAGGAGTATTTTGCTGAGGGAAGATGAGAAACTTGACCCTGAAGATGCTGATGCTGCCCTCTTACGTTACCTTCCAGTTCTGTGACGGATCGGTGAAGGACTCGAGCTCGCCCGAGCCTCCCCAGAGGCTGCACACCGACTACCAAGCTCCCCTCGTACTCTGGGCTGGCGTAGACCAAGAGGAAACCAAGAAGCAGGTTTGTCTGCTGGAGCCAAGTCCTCATTGTTTCGTCTCCGTTTCAGGACTGAAAGGTATTGAGCGTAGGGGATGCTGCTAGCTCAGATAAGAAGCCTCAAGAGCAGCCTTAATGTATGAAGCATCTGCTGGGTTTATAAGTTTCTCGGCGTTGGTGGTGTCTCAGGCCTCGGGCAAACCTACCGGGTTCTTTTTTTAAGGTCCGTTGTGACCGCAAGGGCAACCGTTACGTGCTCCTCCCGCAAAATCTGGGGTCTGAATAACACTGAAGGGTTGGAGGAGGAACGGGCTTCCTTCATTTTGCCTGGCAAAACAAAGGTGTCGCTTTCTGTAGTTGTGCGGAGAGAGAGAGAGAGAAGCTGCCAAAAATCCTTTAAAAAAAAAAAGCAAAACAAAAGAACAAAACCCACTTTATCTTCTTTGGGTACAAGGTTGGGAGTGCGAAGGTTTCTACCATATCAGCGCCTAGCAGGCAGCGGGGTGGTAGCTTTCAAGCACAGGCTGCGGGCCTGATGCTGAGTGTCTGATTTAATGGCGAGGGCTTACCAGCCGGCGTCCAGGACGGTCTGGCTCACGCTAAGCTGGGCGATGCGGAGAGATGGTGTTTCTCTTGGATGCCTTTAGGAAGTGACTTTTATTTTCCTGCTTCCTTCTGATGTGAAGAGGAACACTTCCCTCTTCTGTCGGCTTTCTTGCAGCTTGCAGCGTAAAACTCGATAGGACTTTGAACGAATTGCCTTCTTTTTTTTTCCTCCCGTTGTTCCTTACGTGCACTTTTTTCCAACAAGCTGGTCCAAAATGCAGTTGTGGTTTCTAGACGGCGTGACAGCAGCTGGGGCCCGTCAGGCTGTTCCTTCCCCCAGCGGTTCCCCCTGCCCCTTGCTTTTTATCTCCTTGGCTCTGATCCACCCTGAGAGAACTGGGGTGGTGGTTTTTTTTTTTTCATCCAGCTTTCTCTCCTTTCAGCCTGGCGATCTCTCCTGCTCCGCTACCTCCAGCTGTGTGGGGCTCTCTCCGCTGGGCGAGACGGACAAACTCGGCCCAAAACTCTTGGTGTCGAAAAATCCACGCCTTAAACTTTCTGGCATCGTGGAGCTCAAACTAGCTGTGTACCGACTGATTCCCATGCGGGTGGGAGGGCTTTTGGTGTGAGCTTTAGCCGGGAGGTTTCCCCTACCCTTGCTGCGTCCGTGGGGTTAAGCTGAAGCCCAGACATTTAAACCTCTCTGTGTGCTCAGTACCCGTACGGGAGTTGTTCCCCGCGGGGCTCTTGGATTTGTCTCAGCAATGACTTCGCCACCTCTGTGGTTCTCCTGCGTGTAGTGGGTCCAGCTCGGTGTTGTACGTTCATTATTTTTGGGGGGCGGGGGGAGATACAGGCTTCCAGTGACCCGCAGAGGACCACCAGTCCCCAGGTGGATCGAAATTCTCGGCCTGTAGCTTGTAGCGCTCCGGTGAAGTGGGTTGAAGTGGGAACCAGCTCTTTTAACCCTAGGAAAATGAGAGTTTAGGAATTTCTCAGGTGACAGAGCTTCCATCCATGGAGGTGGAACCAGGAAGGTTCAGTCAAGGGATGCTGGTACAAAGCCCTCGGATGCTCCGAGATGTCTTGGTGGTCCTCTCCTAGCTAACCACCGTCTCTCCGGCGTCTCGGTCCTGGGGCATGTGCACTAGGAGACATTTGAGGATCTCTCGGGGAAGGAGCGGGGTTTCTATCCCGATAGACGTGCGCTCCAGAAATCAAACTGAGTGCCGGTATCGCTCGATACCGATCCCAGCCTGCCCCCGGACGTCCTTCCCAAAGGTGCCTCTTCTTTCCTGCAGCGTCAGAACGAGTACCTGAGATACAGGCGCCTCTTCATGAACATCGAGCGAGAGCAAGTGAAGGAGCAGCAGAGGCAGAAGGAGAGGCAGAAGAGAATCGCTGAGTGAGTACGTGCGGGTGAGCGCCGGCCTCTTGGTGTCACCTCCTCCGTCACAGGCAGGGCCCTTCTTCATGCTGGAAAGGTCTTGCGTTGCCTGTCTGGTGTGAACCAGGCAACGGTGTTTCGGAAAGCACTTCTGCAGCCCAAATGCAGAGGCTTTGAGAAGACCGTCCAGCTTGATAGGAAGTAAAAACAGGTGATGGGTAGCGTTCTGCCTCCTTGGCCACAGGCTGCCCCCGATGGATTTAAAAAGGCCGCTTCACCAACTTTTTAAAAACGGGGGAGTACGCTGAAAGAAGCTCCGCCGTACGAATGCCGATTGTAAAGCCTGACTTACCTCCCTGGGTTTATTTTGGTGCCCAATCTGCTAACCCCGGGGCGGGATTCATTCGACCGAGCCCCCAGGAGAGACCCTTGGGCCGTGTCGAGTCCTTCAGAGGTGCTCAGTGCTCCTCTATCTACTTTCTGAGTCCCCGCGCAGCTTGGATAGGAGTTGGGACCCGAAACATCAGGCTGGGAGAGTTGCAGCTCACCAAACGGTGACTCTTTGGAACTGATCCCAAGACCCTGTGCTACAGTCCATGTTTAGAAACTTTGGGGTGAGGTCACGTTGTTGTTGTTGTTAAACTGATCTTATCTCTGGGGTTTTTAATATCAGACCCTTCACCCTCACGGCTATAAACATATATAGTGTAATAAAAAGATTTCTCAGCATTTGTTCTGGAGTTGAAAACTCAGTATCTGCGTAAAAGTATCAGTACTTGTTTCGGTGGCTTAGTCATCTTCTCCCTTTCAAGGGGTTCATTAAGGAGGAGCTCTGCAAATTCACACCAGAAAAGGAAAGACGCTCTAGATTTTTTTTTGTGTCTCTCTGCCTTGCTCTAAAAGAAAACGGTGTAGCTCTGACCGGCTCAGCCTCTAACGCCGGCTCAGCAGCGGGCAGGCTTTGTGGGAGCAGCGCAGGCACCCGAGGGCAGGATTTTCCTGGTCACTTTTGGGAGAGAAATTGCCAGCTTAAAGAAACGCTGCTCCAGCCGCGTTCCT